GCAGTCACTTTCAGTATTACTAGCTTTCTTCTCTTTTCTACAACAGGTGACCTTGGGCATTAGCACTCTGCTTATGTATGTTCCAACTCCTCTGGCTGCCACACACCAGTCAGGCTCCTTGGCACTGCTTAGTGGTGCCCTTTGGCTCATGAATGAACTCCGAAGAGTCCCAAAATAATTCTGAGAATCACTCGCTAGGACTGAAACTATCTTGGTAATTTATCAGCAAGCACAGGAACTTAGGAGGGCGGCCTTGACATGCCACATGGCTTACACATTGGTCATGTCTCTCAAGACTGTTAAGAGATGGACACCAGATCAAGAATGTCACTAAGGTGTCCTTACACCAGAGATTTCCTTTAAAATCTGCTGCAGAAGTAAGTGTCCGTCATTTGCTGCTGCTTACTAGGCAGTCTGGCTTTTCTTAGTGTTAGGAAGATCTGGGATTTCCGTGTCCCTGTGCTGCAGAATCCTGTCCACTAATCAGGCTGGTGGTGACAGTGACAGACCCAAGAACAGGTGGACCAGTCGACAGGTAACTGAACGTTGGTTTGTGACCAACATCTAGCGTTGTTATATCTTCTTAAGCACCTAGTGAGCTAGATTTTGAAGTGAAGATCCTTTTATGTGTGTGTTAACATATGCCATGTGTGTACATAATGCCATGGTGGCCCGGGAAAGTGCTGGGTCCCTTAGAGCTGGAGTTACAGGCAATTGTAAGCTGCCTGATATGGATGCTGGTAACCAAACACAGGTCCTCCGGAAGAGCAGCAAGCACTCCCACTAGCTGAACCATCTCTCTAGTCTTAGAGTGAATATTATTAAAATTAATTGTTAGTCGGGCAGTGGTGGTACATGCCTTTAATCCCAGCACTTGGGAGGCAGAGGCAGGTGGATCTCTGTGATTTTGAAGCCAGCCTGGCCTACAGAGTGAGTTCCAGGACAGCCAGGGCTATTACACAGAGCAACCCTGTCTCGAATACCCACCCCGCAAAAAAAAAAAAAAAAAAAAAAAAAAAACTTAAATGTTTACAATTTTTAGTTTTTAAAAATAATATGGAGGCTTAGTATGTCTTACCTGAAGTTGCCCATTTGCAGTTTCTGAACCAGATGATCAGTCGTTCCACTCTAGTATTCTGAGTCTGTACCCTAAAGGGAGCGCTCTCAGCTGTTCTTAGTCCCAGTCCCTCAGAGCTTGTGCTGTTGCACAGGAGAGGTTCCCTCAATCACAGAACTCAAGACTCATCTTAGACCCACTCAATCCTAGCCCTTGGAACAGGAGTGTGGTGGGTTTTTGAGACAGGGTTTCTCTGTGTAGCCTGGTTTTATAGTCACTCTGAGCCCAGGGCATCCCGAGTCAGCTCAGGCTTCGGGTGTTTACTTCATTTTTCTTTGATTACAGTTGAACGTGTCTGGAAACAGAGCTGGTGTTTAGCTGTTTAACTGCACTGTGCGCTCTCTGCACTCCTGGTCAACAAGATCATCTTAGCTCTTTTTGTGTTTGTGTAATTTGCTGCACCAGATAGATACCAAATACTGAATGAACTGGTGGAAAATAATAGTTACTAAATTTATGTTCCAAATGTCTGTTTTAAAAAAAGCCATTGCACACTTAAAGGATCAAATAAATTTCCTTTAATGTTTTCAACAGTCTGTCAACAGTTCTGTCAATTGTTTTTAAACATAAAAGTAATTAAAACATGTATTTTCAATCAGCTAACCCAGGATCTATTTTTTTTTTCTTTTTTGAGCCCCATTGGGTTGATCAGGACATAACTCTTATTTTTTTTTTTAATTATTTATTTATTATGTATACAATATTCTTCCTGCAAGCCAGAAGAGGGCACCAGACCTCATTACAGATGGTTGTGAGCCACCATGTGGTTGCTGGGAATTGAATTCAGGACCCTTGGAAGAGCAGGCAATGCTCTTAACCACTGAGCCATCTCTCCAGCCCCCAGGACATAACTCTTATGACATCATTTAATCTTTGTAAGAATTCACTTATTATTGTGTGTGCATATGACGGGGAGTATACACTGTGTACATGCATGTGCATGCAGAGGTCAGGGGACAAGTCGTGTGAGTTGGTTCTCTCCTTCCATCTTTGTGTGGGTTCTGGGGGTCACACTCCGGTTGCCAGGCTTGTGGTCTCACCTGCTGAACTGTCTCAGTGACCCAGATTTCTGTCTGGCCTACACTGAGATATGCTTCTACTGTGGCAGGGTTAATGACTGCCAAGAGTGAAGCTGGTCACAGAGACCGACTCTGGAGAATCATGATGCCAGTTTCCCTGCAGCCTTCCTTCTGGTCCTGCGGTGAATGGTGGGTTATATGTGGGCGTATGTGACACCGAGCTATGCCCCCACATGAGGGTGACTGAGTCGCCATTCCAATGACATTGCACATTTTCTGTTTATAAGCTTCGTGTTTATCAGAATATCCAGAACGATTCATAAAATGTAGGATTCTTACAGAATTCTTATTGAATGTGAAGCATCTGGAAAGCAGTCCCAGGCACCTGAAACAGCATGGTGCAGCACGTCCGGCTCGAGGTCACCATGGAGATGCCAGGGCCACCGCAGAGACCACACTAAAGGTAGAAATCACGGAGAAGACAAGGCAGATACTTTACAGCTTCAATAGATATAAAGTGTGGAAGGAGAACTTGAAGCAGAAATCCTAGCGGTCAGAGTACTCAGGAGCCCTACTGGCTGAGTGGCCTGAAGAAGCTAACAAGGCAGATCCTGTACTGCTAGTGGAGCCGCACTTGGAATGTGCCCCATGGGGTGGGCTGCTTAGGAATCGCCAGACTGCCTTCAAATCATGCTGTAGCTTAGATCTGGGATGTCCTCCAAGGGCCCACTTGTTAAAGGCTTGGCCCCAGGATGGCACTTTGGGGAGGTGGTGGGTCCTTGTAGGCACAGCTTCATAGGTCTTTAAGTCACTGGAGGACATGTGTGACTCCCAACTCCATCCTCTCTTGCATCCTGGCCATGAGCTAAGCAATTCTGCTTTGCTACCCATGCCTGCCAAACTGCACTTCTTCATCACAGGCACAAGCAAAGGGAACACTTGACCTCTAAAACTTGTGAATCAAAACAACCCTTTTCTCTTTATGAATGATCTCAGGTGTTTCATTACAGCAACTAGAGAGTAACACAACAGAGGGAGCGGACAGCAGGCTCTTGGGGGTGGGGTGTCTGTCAGCAGTTGGCCTATGTTCAGGAGGGCTCAGAAGTAGACACATCTTCAAGCTTGTCTGCCATGCATGCATGACTAAACATCCTATTACTCAGAACATTTTCAACTCTGGTTTTTATAAAAAAAATGGGAACAATAGTCTCATAATTGAAAAAATGGAAGCGCTTATATATGAGCAATTAATTCCACTTTACCATATAAAAGGTCTCTCTCTTTATTGCTCAGACTTCCAAAAGACAAAATGGTCTGTTGGTGCGTGGCTTTCCTCTGTCTTTCTAGTAATAGTATTAACGAACAAAAAGAATGAAATACTAGGGCAAAGGGGAATGTAAAATACTACAATGGCAGCCTACTGGGATATAAAATAAGACAAAGAAGGCTCAAAATAGAACCTTAATGAGCCACCTCCAGAGACTCCAGGATTGACAGAAACCCAAGTACAAGAGCTTTTCCAGTGAGCTCAGATCCAAGTTAGGAGCAAGGTGGCAGCCAAGGACAGAGCCACTCAGAATTCATAACACCCTAAAAGTGTTTGAATTCAGTACATTCGTTCGTTACTCTGTTGTTAGTCAAAGGTGCCAAAGCTTGGTTCTGAGCCCTCACTTTTGAACATACCAACTTTTGTGACACCAATCAAATTCTTACAAGTTTGGCAGAAGTCCATCGTCCAGACAGCAAGGCTGAAGCTAAGCACAAACTAGGAGACTCTGAACCAGCTGCTGCTACTCCCAACTGAAATGAAGTCACACAAGTCCCATTCTGGAAACTGCCCAAGAATCACCACCAAGTTCTATAATGAGGTAGAGAGCTCTGTTAGGCATTTGTACCTTCACTCAGATTGCAATTATGTTATTGGAACGTTGTGGTTAGGGAAAAAATTGTGCAAAGTTAAGCTAATTACTTAAAAGTAAAACCTAAAGTATTTTTAAAAAGAAAAAAAAAAACCACTCAAACAGATGGAGTGAAAACTGGCTAACAAGATGACGTCACCCAGTGCAGGTAATGGGGAAACCCAGGACCAGTCATCAACCTTGGCTAGTGAAATGATGTCACCCAACAGGAGTGATGGGGAAACCTAGGACCAGTCAGGAGCAATGTGCTCAGTTCTCAACCATGTAACAAAGTCTTATGTTAATAAAGCCTGAACCCATAATATTAAAACAGTAAATAGGATATAATGTACAAAACAAAAACTCAGACTAATTAAAATAAATTAAGAAATATATTTATATTGGAAAATGATAAAGATAGGCATCCTGAGATTTTTTTTTCAACTATAAAAAGAATGAAGGGCTTATCAATTCAAAAGGCTGCATGATTAAATAATATACAAAGAACACAAAGCGTTCTAAAGAGCAATACAAAGTGCATGCTTGACAAATGGTAGGTACTGGTACCGTCAGGGTGAAGAGTAAATTCGGTAAGGAGGGCTTCAAAACTGGACGGCATACCTCCTCCCTCCAGCTTCAGTCAGCTCATGAATCACAGCCACTGTTAACAAGATCTCCCAAGAACACCAAAACTGGTACATAGAAACCAAGATGAAATGAAAAGTTCCCTGAGGAGGCAAATGGCTAGCAAGAACATTTTTGTCATTTTAAAGCAGCATTAAAAAGGCAAAGGCTCACTCATAGGGCATAAAAAAATAGAATTAAAGAGAACCTTAAATCTGAAAAGAAATGTCAATGACAGTCCTGATGGAAAGTAAAATCTGTAAAATGAAAGCATCTTTGTTTTTTTTTTTTTTTTTTTTTTTTTTTTTTTTTGGTTTTTCGAGACAGGGTTTCTCTGTGGCTTTGGAGCCTGTCCTGGAACTAGCTCTGTAGACCAGGCTGGTCTCAAACTCACAGAGATCCACCTGCCTCTGCCTCCCAAGTGCTGGGATTAAAGGCATGCGCCACCATCGCCCGGCTAATGAAAGCATCTTTGACAGACGACTACGTATCTGATGTGCACCCACGGTGGTGCAGAGCTATAATCACAGCACTCGGGAGGCTGAGGCAGGAGGATCATTGAGTACCAGGCCAGCCTGGTTACATAATGAGACCCTGCCTCAAAAGAAAAAAAGGAAGAAAATAGTTTAGAACTTGCCTAACCACAGAGCTAATATACTTATTTATCTTCACCTTGGCTTAGCCCTAGGGCCATCTTAGTTTTTCCCATTTCATAAAGTATTTCGTTTCTGTTCCCAGTATGGAATCTATTTTCAAAGAAGTCCATTTTTATTCTTTAAATTTAGAATTTTTTTTCTCTATTCTAACCCTACAAATAAAAGGCTTTGGCAAAATGAAAGGGAAATGAGCCAGGTCTGGTGGTGCACACCTTTAAACCCAGTACTTCGAGGAGACAGAGGCAGGAGGATCAGGAGTTCAAGGCTAGCCTTGGCTACCTAAAAAATTGGCCTCAAGAGACTTGCCTTACTCCCAAAAAGAAATCAAGCTACTATTTCTGCCCTGGGAACCATCCCAGGCAGGCCCCTCATGGGTCTATGGGAAATAAAGAGTCCATGGGGGCAGAAGGAGCTGACACTTGGTGCATCCGAAAGGCTGGCTGCAGAGGGGCCGGTTTCTGAGGCTGTGGTGAGTACATGGTATGGCTTTCCTCTCCCCAGTAAAGGAAGTGCTATTTGTGACAGATGTCCAAACAAATGGCCAGCCTGCTCCATGGAAGATTTATCTAGTTATTCCAAAGTTTAGAATTTGCTCTCTTTCAAGCATTCCAAAAATAGGTAAGAACTTTGATTTTAAGCCAGGCATGGTGGCACATGCCTTTAATCCTGGCACCTGGGAGGCAGAGGCAGGGGGATCTCTGTGAGTTTGAGTTCAGGCCAGCCTGGTCTACAGAGTGAATTCCAGGACAGCCAAAGCTACATACACAGTGAGACCCTTTCTCAAAACTGCACCCCCCCCAAAAAACCCAACTTTGATTTTACTGCCTTTGCCCACTCTCTTGATACTATTCTTCCTTAAACAAAACAAAACAAAATACATCCCATCCCAAAATACGTAAGATCTCAGCAGTGAAATGAGGGAAGTTGCTTTGAATCTTCTGCACAGAAAAATAGGCCTGAGACAGTAACCTGCAAACAGGCAAACCTGTCCCGGTAGTTTCTCCATTTCATAAGCATGCTTACGGCTCAAAAGGCAACGTGGATGCCCAGCAGCCTGTGAGGCACATGGAAATGTGTTCTGTACTAGTCAGACCAAGTGTCAGATAAAATACTGTCAGGTCGTCAATGGATCATTCACTTCAAAGGGGTCCGGCCTCTCGGATCTGTATGACGTAATCAGCAACACTGTCAGGGATGTCAAGTAAGCAAGGAGGGCGTATCATTTTGGTTGCCTTGAGATCCTGGTCCACTGAACCTCAGAGATCTTGGGTCCCTATTCAAGGCTGTGGATCTCCACATAAGGATATCTCTGTTACAGAGAAAGCAGGGGCAACTGCACTTGCTGGAATGTCTCTGGCTCTATCAGTCGATCCAAGTTGGCTTCAACCATGATTACAGTTGCCCAACAAAAACTTGCTTCAGCAAGAGGGGGAAATACTACATCCCAGAAACACACAGGCCTTCTGTGATAAAGGAGAAGCATGCTTCCCTTGGGCTAAGCTTGGTTCCTGTGTTAGCACCGGCCTCTCACCACCTAGTTCCTCACAGATTACATTACGGCTTCTGAGAAAAGGTCCTGTCCTGGGCACTAAAAAAAAAAAATTAAAGAAGTAGAAATTCCCAGGCCGAAGCAGCATGTGAGGCCAGCTGATGAAAGTAAGGAATTCAGGATCAGCAGTCCCAAGGTTCTGGAGGTTCTCTGGTTCCGGTCCAGCCTCATGGCTCTACTTGCACCCCTATCATTGGCACCACTTGTTCAATCCACAGCAGGTCCAACGGAGCTGAGGCTCGAGTTTGTCGGCGGTGAATTCTGTGGATCCGCAGAAGGTACAGGACGATGGCCAGCAGCACCACCAGCGTACAGGCGAGGAAGAGACAGTGGTTGTAGACAAAGGAGAGACGGAACCAGCTGCCATGGGCTTGCCGGACACCTCCCTGCCGAAGGTCCCTAGGGGAAAAGACAGAAGAACTGGTTTCAGAGTGAAACATTTGCTGTGATGTAAAGGACCGCCCGAGTCTATCCCACTTATTCATCCACTCAGACAGCCCAAGAAACCCGCTGCACTGACCAAGCAAAGCTTAAGGACATCCCCAGCCCAGGGCTGACTGGTGCCTCCTGTCCCTTCCTGTCCCTGGGGCTTGGGTGCTGCAGAATGTGGAGACAAGCTCAAAAGGCCAATAAAACTAAGTTTTAAAAAACAGACAAAACTGGTCACCTGCAAAATAAATTTTTTGTTGTTGTTGTTTTTTGCAACATGGTCTATGTAGCCCTAGCTATCCTGGAATTCATTATTGTAGATCAGATTGGCCTCCAACTCACAGAGATCCACCTGCCTCTGCCTCCTGAATGCTGGGTTTGAAGTGTGCACCACCACACCAGGCTGTAACATAAATCTTAAAATATAGTTTGTAAATACAGTACTAAGAATAGAGTATCCCTTGACTCCAAACAAGACAAATTGAATATGTCTAGCTCTTTAAAAAAAAAAAAGGTGCACTATTTCTTAGGATCTAGCATTTATATGCATGAGGGCAGTTGTGGCCTGACCAGCTATAGTATGACCTGGAAAAACAGCATTATATAAACTGAAGAGCACTGGTCGTCTGACCTGGCTAGGATGCTACTCTTGCATCATTCAGGTACTAGATCCATCTTAGTTTATATGACCTACAATTATTGAGATATTTTGTGTTCTGACAAAACTTACCTGGAGATCAGAGGGCAGAACTAGCCACCAGTTAACCACTGAAGCTGGGCGGTGGCAGCTCTCGCCTTTAATCCCAGCAATCAGGGTTTGGAGACAGAGTAATTAGGAAGGGTGGAGACAGGCTCTTGGAGGAAGGGATGGCGAAAGGGAGACAGGAAGGAAGCAATTGGCGGCTGCTCCCATTCTCTGACCTTCCAGGTTTTCACCCTGGTTTATCCCCAGTTCTTATTGATTAAGATTAATTAGATTTACATTTCATGCAATGTTTTTTTTAATGTAATTCTTCAAAAGGAAAGATTTCATATAAAATATGGATTTCTGATTTCTCTGGACAAACGAGAACTGGCAAATGCTGGGACACCTGTGTTGACAGGAATCAGTACTTTAGTTGGTGCACACTGTCTGGTTCCTCGGGAGCCACACAGCCCACTTCCCTCACATCTGTCCCCTGTCTGCTTCCTGATCACAGAGTTTGGAGGATCAGGCACAAGGGAGTAAAGGTAGATCGTATTTTCTCTGAACCTGTCTAGGAAAGAGGACCTAAAACCTGTCCCAAATATCTTATAGCACATAGCGAGTCATGGAACCCCACAACTGGATGAAAATGCCCACCCTAAAACCATGTCAAGCCCTTTTTTCTAATGCTAGGGCCACCACACACTGTGCCAGGTCAGTGACAGCGTTTCTGGAATGGTTTACCCACAAGGAAAGAGTGCTTTGCCCACACAGCCTCCTTCAGCTCCTTGTCAAATATGTTTTCCAGTGTGCAACACTTAAGGCTCAGGTTTAGGTCCTCAGTGCATATTCTAGAAGCATTTAGTATGAGCCCAACCATAGAGTGATCCCTTGGAGGAGAACAGATAAAGCTGGCAAAGGCGAGGAAGAGAGTCCAGACCAGTTCATCTCAACCTTTCTGTCTCAGAGAGAAGGAACAGCAGAAGTCTCTGGAGGGTGGAGTTGAGGGGTTCACTGGTGAGATCTATTCTGAGGCATCGACCTAACATCCTCTGAGGTCAGCCTGGTGAGTCTGACTTTACCTGAGTGGCAGGAATCGGGTTTTATATAGAATGGCTCCCAGGGTCCACTGCACCTCTCGGTCATACACCAGCTGCGCCGTCTGCAGGTTTGGATAGTCGTGGGGGAAGTGGAACCCTTCATGCAGGACTTCGTACATCCAAGCTGACTTGAAACACTGATACCTGAGTAGCGAGAAGGAAGCTTTAAAAAATAAGTTTTAAAAAATAAGAAGAAAAAGATAACTAATGCATTCCTTTGTAGGAACTCCTGCTTCTCTGTCGGATGTCAGGCGACAAGCGACTAGCCTCTCCTTGCTTTGCCTTCTCCCCTCTAGGGAGAAGCAAAGTTGAGGTTGTAGCTGTGGTTTTCTCCTGTTTTGAGTTTCAAGATTCCTGTCCTCAGAGAACATCCTGAAATAACTGTGATGTGTTTGTACAACACCCATGATCTACATAAATGAAAAACCAGACTGGCAGAAGTTGCTGTCATTAGGGAAGCTGGTGACAGATAGGCAGGGGTTCATTGTGCTATTTCATGTTCGTGCCTTTGAATTTGCCTTTTCTTTTGTTTGCTTGTTTGGTTTTGTTTTCTCTTTGTAGCCCTGGTCATCCTGGAACTCACTCTATAGACCAGGCTGGCCTCAAACTCAGGGATCCGCCTGCCTCTGCCTCCTGAGTTCTGGGATTACGCCACCATACCTGGAACCTTTGAATTTTTCAAAGTAAACATTTACAAATGGGAGGATTATGAATCTTTGAAAAAAAATGTTGAAGCTAGGTAAGTTACATTTTTATTCTTTCTACCTGTGGTGGTTTGAAAAGAAAACGGCAGTGGCACTACTAGGTGTGGCATTGTTGGAGTGGGTTTGGTCTTGTCAGAGGAAGTGTGTCACCATGAAGTTGGGCTCTGAGGTCTCACATATGCTCAAGCTACACTGAGTGCCTTAGACCACTTCCTGTTGCGGGTGAGTCAAGATGTAAGAACAATCCTTCTCCAGCACCATGTCTGCCTACATGCTGCCTCCATTCCTGCCCTGCTGAGAATGGCCTAAACCTCTGAACTGTAAGCCAGCCACCACAGTAACATGTTTTCCTTTCTAAGAGTTGCCATGACACACCTTTAATCCCAGCATTTGGGAGGCAGAGGCAGGTGGATCTCGGTGAGTTCAAGGCCAGCCTGGTCTACAGAGTGAGTTCTAGGATAGCCAGAGCTGTTACATAGAGAAACCCTATCTCAAAAAACAAAAGCAAAACAAAACAAAAAAAAAAGAGTTGCCAAGGTAATAGTGTCTTTTCACAGCAACAGAAACCCTAAGACACTACTTTTCAGTTAATTTTCTTTTTTATTATTTATTTATTATGTGTACAATATTCTGTCTGTGTGTCTGCCTGCAGGCCAGAAGAGGGCATAAAGATCGCATTTCAGATGGTTGTGAGCCACCATGTGGTTGCTGGGAATTGAACTCAGGACCTTTGGAAGAGCAGGCAATGCTCTTAACCACTGAGCCATCTCTCCAGCCCCCTTCAGTTAATTTTCTATAATAAAACATTTAAAATAAAGAAGGCCATCACTTGGAGAGAGTGTCCTTTGATAACTACTGGTTTCCTGCCGCAGAAAGGGGCTCACTATTTGGTCCCAATTCTACAGAAAACCAAAATCTGAAATAATCCAATTCTCCTTCCGCCTGAATCTGACTTGCACTGTTGGATGGTTCTCCCTTATAATCTGTCTCCCACATTCTAAGGCCATATCTGAAGTAGACAAGAAAGTCACGTACTTGAGCCGATGCTCATCTGCATGTGGAGAAAAGAGGCCATTCTTGAATCTCTGCGCGAGCACTGGCCACGCCATGCCACAGTAATCCTGGAACAGGCACAGAGAAAGTGTGACACAAAACCACAAGTGGTCTCTCCAACTCCCCACAGGCACAGCTGCTCCATGTTCAGGTGCATGGAGCTACTATCTCACCAAGGAAAACAAACGGCACACCGGACCACTGGACACGACGCCATGCCTCCTCTACTCTCATTACTTCCACGTCTAATAAGAAACAGCCCAAGCTGGCTCCTGAGCCTCTTAGGCATCAGAGAGCCTGAGGGTTAGAAGTAAGAATAATATCAAGACCCAGGGAGCTAGCTGCGGCCAATCTGTGAAAACTTATATGGGCATGGGGAGCAGCCATCATCAGACTACCTGGGGGTCACACCTCTCAAAAAAAACTGTTTTCAGTTGGTTCAGGCAAAGAACTTTGGTGACTGTCAGGTGCCAGGTGCTCTCCTATGTGCCAGAGGATGAAGTGGTGAGAAAAAAATCCTGTCCCCAAGAAGCTTATATTCTACTGGTAAGAAAATAAAGAAATGGGTATCACAGAGTGTGCAGGATGGCACAGTGTTGAGTGGGGGAAAAAAACAGGAAAAGCAAGGGTAATATGAGGAGGGTGGTACTGTGGCTAGCATAGGGAAGGTGGGAAGACTACATTTGAGCTGGAATTTTAAAAAATCAAGGGAACAACCTCTTCTACCTCAGAAAACTTCCTAAGTCAACCAGCAACTTGGCTAAGCAATCATTTGAACCCTCTGTGTTCAAAACAACAGAATCTGAGGAATCTTTGTGACAAGAAAAGGACCCAAGTCAGGCCAGTTAGGGAACCCTCAACTCGGGAGGTACGAAAGAAGGGGTCCTTAGAGCTGGAGAAGGAGCAGCATGAAGCAGGAGTGCCACAGTACTCCTAGGACTGCCTCTGGGGGTGCAACAGAAGAAACTGCAGGTGCCAGTCTGCTGGAAGTGCACCCCAAGGGATTAACTCTGGGGGTGCGACAGCAGAAGCTACAGATGCCAGTCCGCTGGAAGTATACCCCCAAGGGATTGCCCCTGGGGGTACGACAGCAGAAACTGCAGGTGCCAGTCTGCTGGAAGTGTACCTCAAGGGATTGCGTCTGGGGGTGCAATAGCAGAAACTACAGATGCCAGTCTGCTGCAAGTGTACCCCGAGACAACCTTAGGGAAGTAGAAAAAGAAAGAAAGCCTAAAATATGCAAGAGGAGACATTCTTTCCATCTCTGTCTCTCAGACAGATCACAAAATTACACAAAAATCAAAGGCATGCTTTGCTGAATCTAGATGTTCCCTAAGACTCATGCATTAGAGACTTGGGCCCCTGGGTGGCACTGTTGAGGCATAGTGGGGCAGTCCTTCATTAGGGGTGGCCTTTACAGGACATTATGGGACCCCAGCTCCCTCCACACTCTTTGCTCCCAGTCTCATGATGTAAACCGTTTGGCTCTGCCATATATTTCCACCATGTTACACCCAAAGCAAGGGGGCCAGCTGACCGTGGACTGGAACCTATAAACTGTAGCACAAAACAAACCTTTGTTCTTTAAGTTGAATATTGCAAGTATTTTGCTAAAGTGATCTTTTTATTTTTTATTTTTATTTATTTGCTTCTTTTTTTAGTGATTTTTTTTTAAAATTGACTAACAAAACCAGGTGTGATAACATACTCCTTTCATACCAGCATTTGAGAGACAGAAGTAGGGAGGCTAGCCTGGTCTCTATAGTAAGTTCCAGGTGAGCCAGGGAAACAACAACTTAAGTAACACAGACTCTAAACTGAGGCAGGGGCTACAGAGAACAGGTCAGATTTTTAGCTATGCTGGTAACTAAAAGTGTGAGCCTGTAAGTGTGTAAGCTCTATATATGTGCAAAGTGAATTTTTACTCTTTTGCTTAAAATACTTCTACCATCACTGGGGTTCACAATACCTTATATCAGACCATTCTGACCTCTTAAAGGTGTTTTGGAGAGTATATGTGTATGTATGCAAGGCAGGGGTGTGTGTGCCACGAGTGTGTGGGTGCCCAAGGAGATCAGAAAACATTACCAGAGCCCTGGAGCTGGATTTTTACAACAGTTTGTTGTAAACTACCTGATGTGGGATTTCCCTCTGTATGCTGTGAATACTATTGGTTAATAAAGAAACTGGCCTGGCCTGATAGGGTAGAACAGAGCTAAGTGGAGAAAACTAAACTGAATACTGGGAACTGAACACTGGTCCTCTGAAAGAGCAACAGTTGCTTAGCCACTTAGCCATCTTTGCAGCCCTGACTCTGGCTCAAACCAAGAGAGGAAAAACAGACCTGTCCATCAAGAGCACCGTGTAAGTCAGACACCTAGCAAAGGGGAAATATGTGAAATGACACTTCGGAGCCACAAACATTGGGGAAGCTGGAAAACAGCTAACTATTCACCGTTAGAACAATTTTATCCCTCGGTGAAAATACACTCATGGAAAACTAAACACATCCTATCAGGAGGCAGTTTAGCAGAGATGATCCCTCAACCTCTGAGGTCACTTTTTCCTCTATAAAGTGAGGGTTCCTGGTCCTGAGAAAGACTCAAGTGAGATCATGCATGCAAAGCCCTTTGTACACTGCCTGGCACAAAGGCGGCATCCACTAAATGGCCGCTGCCAGCATGAGTCATCCTGAGTATTAATGAGTTACCTGAGCAGCCTTGGCAAATGTTGGCCCGTGGTAGCGGCCACCGATGCGCAACACATCCTCCGTACAGTAAAAGAACTCAGAGAAGCCGTAAAACTCGCTGTTGTTGAAGTCGATCGGTGACTGGTAAATGCCATTCAGCGAGGCCTGGCTGGTGTTGGAGCGGGCCAGCAGGGGGCTCAGCATTGCCCTACAAGTGGTCCAGTCACCCTTCCCTCGGACATGCAGGACCTGACTGTTCCTCTCCACCACATCTGTGAGTCCCACAGGCAGGCAGGGGTCCAAAAATGGGTTGTCAGGACTCAGGCCTGTCTTCTGGCCCAGCAGTCTGTCACAATGACAAAAACAGAACGTGAGGGGGGCTGGTCCTGAGCTCTTCTGAGGACTAAGTTCACTTCAAAAGCACCTTCTGATTTTCAATGACAAACCTAGCAATAAGGGCTGAGTGGAGTATTTCTAGGCAGGAGCAACGCATGCATGTTTAATTGAAGCAAATTAAGTTTAGAAACCAGAGAGCAGCCGGGCGATGGTGGCGCACGCCTTTAATCCCAGCACTCGGGAGGCAGAGGCAGGCGGATCTCTGTGAGTTCAAGACCAGCCTGGTCTACAGAGCTAGTTCCAGGACAGGCTCCAAAGCCACAGAGAAACCCTGTCTCGAAAAACCAAAAAAAAAAAAAAAAAAAAAAAAAAAAAAAAAAAAAAAAAGAAAGAAACCAGAGAGCAGTGCACCAGTGATGGATTCCACTCCACCCTCTCATCATCGTGTATTCCCAGCACAGATTCAAACAGGACCTGTGAATCTGCTGTTTTCCCTCTGCCTGCCTTCCCACAAGCCTCTGAAAAGTGCAAGGGATTCCTGTTTAACACACAGCTGAGGGCTGGAGAGAGGGCTCAGTGGGTAAAGCACTCCCTGCACAAGTGTAAGAATGTGAGTTTGAATCCTCGGAACCCGTGGAACAGCCAGATGAGGCGGCGTGTGACTGTAGTCCCAGTGCCTTGCAGGGAGAGAGGAGGTAGACAGAAAACTCCCTGGAAGCCAAAGGGCCGGCGAGCCCGGTGTGCACAGCAGTGGGCTGTCAGGGCCGGAGAGCCCGGTGTGCACAGCAGTGGGCTGTCAGGGCCGGAGAGCCCGGTGTGCACAGCAGTGGGCTGTTAGGGCCGGCGAGCCCGGTGTGCACAGCAGTGGGCTGTTAGGGCTGGCGAGCCTGGTGTGCACAGAAGCCTAGTGTGCACAGCAGTGGGCTGTCAGGGCCGGCGAGCCTGGTGTGCACAGCAGTGCACTGTCAGAACACGGTCCAGGAATGGATTCGTGTGAGGAGAATTCTGAGTGCTTGTGAAAACACTCCAAGAGAACAAGACAAGAGTCTTGTGTCCTCAGTTTCTTGAAAACACAGAACCGTTCTTAGGATGCCCTTTCGTGCTCCTCTCAGGTGCAGCAGATAGGTGTGTGATTACTTCAGACTAGTCGTCATTGCTTTCTGATGGTATTCAATCAAATGTTTAAATTATCCTTTGTATGCTTCTATGGGAAAGCACATTTTTGTCATGTGTGGCTTGTCCCCATGACTGTATACAGCTTGAACTCATGTGACCTTTCTTAACCCTCAGAGTATAAATTGCCTGAGGTTCTGAATAAAGTTGACCGGTGCCTGAGACTTTAGTCTGCTTCATTATCTACTCCGTTCTCCCAGGTCCCACCGTGGCTAGAGCAGTGACAGTGGACAACAAGAGACCCTGCTCTCAAACAAGGAGAAGGGGAAGACAGATCCAAGGCCCCAAGTGTCCCATGGCAAACACATGCCCGCGTTCACACATATCAATATGTACGCACACACATGCATATACGTATCTCATACACACAAAAATACACAAACATACATAACTGGGAAGAGACAAAAGCGGGAAGAACTCAGAGAGGAGAGCGTCCTGAAGAGGGAGCCATAGCAGTGGTACAGTGGCGACATCTGGCCTGGATTGAGTGGTGCTGGGCCAGCCAGCCTCCGGGGATCACAAATCCCTGGGCTGCTAAACGGGAAGGGGGACAAGACTTGACTCCTTCCATGGCCACAGTTCTACTTCTCTAGGCTCTACTTGTCTAGCAATCGTATTCTCGTTACTAAGGAGATTAATAGCAGACCTGGACAAAGATAGAAAGCACATGGAAACCACTGGTACCTGCATTAGCTGTTCATTATCAGTTCCCGAACAGGCAGCTGTGAAGGAGTGGACTTTGCAGGGTGAAGATGCAAGAACAATTAGCAACTGAAGGAGGACACGGGAAAGGGAAATGCAACAGAATGTCCGGGAATAATGGAATCTGACTATTAGCGAGAACCCTCCCAGGAGGATAGGTCTGTCTGGTAGACTGGCAGCTACGGGAGCCACCTAAACAATCCTAAAATAGGCTGAAACGTCCCTACAGACGTGGCAGGAAAGGAAGAGGCAAACTTAGCCACTGTAGCTGGATGTCACCATTTTCCCCTCACATCTGCAGTCTGGTAGAAGTGAGGATTCCGTGTCAAACGTACCTGTTTCTGTTAAGCGTTTCATTCAGCACAAGGTCTTCATAGCGCTGCCGGGCAAAGTTGCCTCCAAAGCCCAGAAAGGTGGTGACGTAAACCCTGTACACATGCTCTGTGTGCTGCACGTCACAGCCCAAGTTGAACTCAGCCAACAGGATCTTGGCTGCTTCTTCCTGTCACGCAGCATCAAGAGACAAAAAGAGGGTTTCAGTTCCTTTCTAGAAAGTGGTGGCATTGTGAATCCACCGGGCTCCTTTTTTATGACGACTCTTTAAAATGTCCTTCCAATCTCACGGCCAGGCACAGTGATACTCTCCTGTAACTCCAGCACCCACACAGCGAGGCAGGAGGACCACAAATCCAAAGACAATTGAGCTCAGGGCAAGCCCCTGTGTGTCTGTGAGATCATTTCCCAAGAGGTTTAACTGAAGAGAGAGGATCTACCCTGAACGTGGGCAGCACAGTTCCACCGGCTGGGGTCTTGACAGAATGAAGACAGAAAGGTAGCTGGGCACCTACATTCTTCTCTCTCTGCTTCCTGACTGCAGATGCCACGTGACCAGCTGCCTCACTCGGGCCACGCCTCCCCCACCACGGACTGTTTCCCCTCAAAATGTAAGCCAAAATGGCCTTTCCTCTTAAGTGGTTTTGTTGGGTATTTGGTAACAGTCACGAGAAGCAGCGGACACAGGGGAAGTGGGTTCATTACAGTTGATGCCAATTCCTGGTACGGACATCTGTGTTCTCCAGTTCTCTACAACGGAACTGTACTATTTTCATAATTAGAAAAAAAATCCTTTAACAAAGAAAGGATCGTTGTGAGATCTATTCCATGACCTTGTCTAGAGTTATTCAAAAAGCTTTTCCATGTCTTCTGACAGGCTTGGGCATTAGCAAAGTTCAGTTTTATCTTCAAAATAAGGGAGGTTTTGCTGTTTGAGTGGTTTTGCTTGTTTGTTTGTTTTTTGTTTTTTTGTTTCAAGCAGGGTCTCACTGTGTAGCCATGGCTGGTCTAACATTCACTCTGTAGACCAGGCTGGCCTCAAACTCACAGAGATTCACCTGCCTCTGCTTCCCAAGTACGGAGATTAAAGGGGTGCACCACCAACACCCAGCCTTGATTTGGGTTTTGAACTTTAAAGGTAGAGATTAAACTAAGTCCCTGAACTCTAGTCCATAGCAAAGCTCTTCCTCTGGTCTAATTACTCCTGCTCATCCTCACATCCAGTCAATCTCTAGCCCCTGCTCTGAATCACCATCCCAATGTGCTTCTTGTGTAATTTTTTAATGTGTATGATTGCAAAATGGAAATAACTATTTGGATTGTGGGATTTTTAATCTGTGAACATATTACTGCACCTAACAACTCTATTCCTTGACTTATACCCAGGAGACCTAACAACTATGTCTACACAAAAGTGTGTTCATGAATGTTCCCAGCACTGCCGTCCATAATCCCTCAGTGTGGAAGCTACTCAGCTATGCATCAGTGATGAATGAATGAACAAAAGGTGGAATGGTGATTCAATGGACTCAGCCACCAACACCAGCAGTGTACTGGTACATACCACAACATTGATTACCTCGGGAATGTTTTTCTAAGAGTCATACTGCAAGATTTCATTATATGAGAAGTCCAGAACAGGCAGATCCCTAGATGAGAGAAAGCGATGGAGGACTGGACAATGGGACACAACTGCTTTTGGCAGAGCTGAAACGTTCTGAATTCCAAGCGATGCTGCATGGTCTTTGCTTTTTAACCAAACGCTAGCATCCATCGTTGAGTCACTATACTGCTATGTCTGCATCAAATTTGGTGCTTGCAAGTATTTCCGCTGCTGCTTTCTAAATATGTCCACACAAGTCATTCAAGACCACAAATGTGAATTCATTTTAACTCAATAAGCCTTAGGACTTCAGAACTAGAAGACCAAAAAGATGCTCTGACCCCGGCTCAGGACCCTACTGTTCATTCTGACCCTGGTTCAGGATCACACTATTGCCTGCCCTTCCCCTGCCTTCTCTCTCCGTTGGAATCTTCATCTTCCTAGTTCCCCAGCCTGGACCATCAGGACTTCTGCAGATCTCATAACACCATACTGGCACACTCACTAGATTTTTGCTCTAAATATTTGCTGAAATGTGTGCCCTTCCCTCCAATTCCATTTTCGCTGTCTACTCTGACCTTGCAACTCCTCATTCAAGACTCTTCTCACATACATTTCTCCAAAAAAAAAAAAAAAAAACATACACACACACAAACAACAAACAAACAAAACAGACCAGCACATAGCCAATGTGGCCACAAAACTTAACAGCTGGGAAGGACCTTTGAGTTTGTCTAACTATGGAACTAAGGCTCATGTGACTGCCTTGCTTTGGCTGGGTCCTACAAGCGACAGAACTGAAAATCAAGCCCCCTCCAACAACACTCAAGACTCCTCATGATCCAATTCCATTCTCTCTCCCCAGAACCTCCCTGAAGCTCCTAGGGTGGACAGGTCCCTGAGCACTCCTTAGACGTTCTAGAGTCCGTTGCTTTCTCTGTCCCTCTGCACACTGTGACAGTGGGAGACAGTCTCTGCTCAGCTTTAACTCTGATCCTGCGCCCAGGTAAGCAGCTCACCTTCCATGAAGGCAGCATGGTTCCTGCTCAAGCTTTCACAAATGGGGTTGACCCTGCTGGTCCCTATCTCCTCCCAGCTGTTGAGACAAGAGGGACTCTTGTATTCGCAGTATTCCCAGCCACACACAATTCAGCCCCAAACAACAGCACCAAGGGTGAGAAACCATCATTTAGATCAGTGCTTCTCAAGCTTCCTAATGCTGTGACCCTTTAATAAGTTCCTCATGTTGTGGTGACCCCCAACCATAAAATTATTTTCATTGCTACTTCATAGCTACATTTTATTTGCTACTGTTATGGATTGTAACGTATATACCTGATATGCAGGGTATTTGATATTCAACCCCTGGGAAAGGGTTGTTTAAACCCCCAAAGGGGTTGCAACCTACAGGTTGAAAACTACCATTTAGATCATACTATAGGATTGCTGTGGTCTGCCTGACACTTCTGCCTCACTGATTTCTGGAGGCAATGTAACCAGCATGTTCTATTTCTTGTGCACACTGCATGTTTAAAGAGGGATGCTTCTCTTTTCTCTCGCTAATGAATCATCTCCCTAAAAATACATTCTTGGCTGGCGATGAACCCATTGGCACAGCACTTGCCTGGCACATGCAGGGCCCTGAGATTGATCCACAGTGCCACAAAAAGAAAAACAAAAGCTAGCATCAAAATACATCCTTAAGGGGCCAGGGACTCGGTAAAGTACTTGTCATGAACAGAATGAGGACTTGAGTTTGAGCCCTATCGCTCACACAAAAAAGTAGATGTGTACTGTCAATCTTAGGGCTCACACTCACTCCGCGCCCACAAGCGCCCACACCACACACGCAGTGGCAGCACATTCCTGTAATCCCAGTCTTGGGGGAGAGTGGAAGAAGGACCCCTGGAGCCTGCTGACTGGCCAGTCTCACAGGCAAGGGATGTAGGATGTCCTTCCGTCTGCTGTCAATATGTTTCTCTCACTGATGGATGAATAAAGTTGTTTTGGCCAATGGCCAGCCAGAATAGAGCCAGGCAAGAAATCCAAAGATATGGAAAGAAAGAAGGCAGAGTCAGGGAGATGCCATGTAGTTGCCAAAGGAGTAACATGCCAGGGCATCACTGGTAAGCCACGGCCATATGGCAATACACAGATTAGTAGAAATAGGTTAATTAAATTTTGAGAGCTAGTCAGTAATATGCCTAAGTTTTTGTTTTTGTTTTATTTCCTGAGACAGGGTTTCTCTATAGCTTTGGAGCCTATCCTGGAACTAGCTCTTGTAGACCAGATTGGCCTCGAACTCATAGAGATCCATCTGCCTCTGCCTCCCGAGTACTGGGATTAAAGGCGTGCGCCACCACTGCCCAGTTGTGCCTAAGCCTTTGGCCAAATAATTACAATTAATATTAAGCATCTGCTTGATTATCTTAATAAGTGGGCAGAGAGAAACCGGTCTAGTGGAACCAGGCAAGATGGAGAAAATGTATAGGCAAGTTCCACATTCAGTGAGAGACCCTGTGTCAAAGAGGAAGGAGACACGGGATCAAGGAAGACACCAACCTCCACATGTTATGCACACAGATGTGAGTACACACCCACACATACGAACACATAGGTAAACAGTATCAGAGATGAAGGAAAGGAACAGTAGGGAAAGGGTATGTATGACCGGTATCCAAGACTGACCTGTATATTTACTCCTCAGGCAACCCCCGAAGATACATAGTATTAATTATCACTGCTAAAATGTATCAATCACTTATCATAAGTGGGCCACTTGCTAAGGCGCTTGACATTCTGATATCCTCACAGCTTTGTAAGAGAGATACTTTTATGCCTTGTGGACACCCAGGACCAGGGAGGTAACCTGCTCGAGATAATGCAAGCTAGTGCCAGGGTGGTGGCAGGCACAGGTCTTTAATGAGGCAAAGGCAGGCAGATCCCAGTGAGTTCAAGGCCAACCAGGGTCACACAGTGAGACCCACATCCCATGGAAAAAAGGAAAAGAAGATAATGGAAGTTAGCAACTGCCTGACCGGATCCAGGACTCTAACCCCCAGCGTACAGCTTCAAACACTGACCTTCCTACACTGGCACTGGGATTTCTAACTGGACTTCACACAAGGCAAAATACCTGTTTGGGAGGAAGGACAGAGGTTGAGGTAGGGACTTCATAGGCAATTTGGAGAGAAGCTCCTCCCATGTCCAGTATCCCCACTGTCCTCCTGCGTCCCGCTGCTGAGTCCAGGGAAGTGTCAGCATCTGACTCTGAAACCAGTGACAGATTCAAATAACTAAACACAAAAACCAAGTTCAAAGGAAAGCACACCCCAACCCCTCCCCCAACACCACTACCCCCACCTACACCCCCGCCCTCTGCAAAAAAAAAAAAGAAATTTGACAGCAAGATGGCTTATCTAATAAAAGCAACTAAAATAAATTCATCTATTAAGTGTACATTATACAGAGAATAATTCTTTCAAATGACTTAAATATAATGCTTCAACTCTATATGCACAGGGATAGGAGAGAACCAACTCCAGCCTGTTGTCCTCCACATCTGCACCATGGCGTATGTGTGCCCACCCTCATACACACGTAATAAATGATGTTCAAACAATAACAACAATGGAGGACTTTTTAAAGAATGTGTTCTGTGGAACGAGAGCAGACACAAAAAAGAGCAAACTATTCGAAGAGTTGAGACTGGGTGAGGGGTTCGTTCACGTTCATTTTGTCACTTCTTTAACAGACATTTGAAGCTTCCCATAAAGACTACAACACAGAACAGCTCCCAGCAAGCACACACACACTGCCAAGAGCCTGGAGAGAAGCCACAGCCCTTGAAGAACATCACACGGCAGAACGGACTTACCATCTTCATGGTCAAATCGTCCCAGAACAAAGTTGATTCCAATCCATGCGTAAACTCCTAAGGAAGAAACGGAAAAGGCCTCTCTATAATTCTCTACTGCTGGACCATATCCACCCCCCCACCTCAAGGGCACCCTTTTTCTCCTTTCTTGGAAAAAGAAAAAGAACCATAATATTCTACTCCATACTCTTTAAAATTTGTTTTTATTTCATATGCATTGCTGTTTTGTCCGCATGTATGTCTGTGTGAAGGCGTCAGATCCCCTGGAACCAGAGTTACAGACAGTTGTGAGCTGCCATGTGGGTACTGGGAACTGAATCCAGGTCCTCTGGAAGACTAGCCGGTGCTCTTAGCTGCTGAGCCACTTCTCCAGTCCCCGTCTACTCCATACTCCTGGTGCATGAACCTTAAGTCCTCTCCCTCTCCCTCTCCCTCTCTCTCTCTCTCTCCCTTTCTTCCTCTCTTCATCTAGCACGCTGCCTCCCACCCCCATCTCAAATAGCACTGGGCTCATACATGCTAGCTACCTGCATCCCCAATCACATCTTTTCTCATGTGATTTTCATTCTTTCTGCAATCATTTGTAACTTCTAATAATTCTATGAAGACTAGGAACTAATTATAAAAAAAAAAAAAACTCTTCAAAAAAAATGTTTAAAACTGTATCAAAAGTCAGGCATGGTGCCATATGCCTGTAACCCCAGCACCCAGGAGGCAGAGGCAGGTGGATTTTTATAAATTTGAGGCCAGCCTGATCTATACTGCTTGTTCCAGGCCAACCAGGGCTACATAGTGAGACCCTGCTGAGAGGGGAGGAGGTCTGGGGTGCAGCTTAGTGGGAGGACACCTGTTCAGCATGACCAAGGACTTGGGGGAGAAGAGTGAGTCTTGCAGCTGTGACTTCTGAGAGAAGTGGTGGGGGGGGGGATACAATCACCCAGTGTCCCCACACGATACAAGTGTAACTCGGGGGGGGGGGGGACACACAGGGAATATGCCCACCCAGCGTCCCTGCCAGATGCAAGTGTAACCTTGGGGGGGGGGGACACACAGGGAATGTGCCCACCCAGCGTCCCCGCCAGATGCAAGTGTAACTCTTGGGGGGGGGGACACACAGGGAATATGCCCACCCAGCGTCCCTGCCAGATGCAACTGTAACTCTGGGTGGGATACACACAGGGAATGCGCCCACCCAGCGTCCCCACCAGATGCAAGTGTAACTCAGGGGGGGGACACAGGGAATGCGCCCACCCAGCGTCCCCGCCAGATGCAGCTGTAAGTCTGGGGGGGATGCACACAGCAGCTTTGTAAGAACTCTGAAAGTGAAGCGAACAGTGAACACACAGACAGACAAGAACTGAAAAAATGTTCCCAAACTAGACCAAGTCTCTCATTTTTTTCCCTTGGCTTCAACTCAAAAGCAGTTGGGGATGAAGAAGAATCAGGTGTGAGCAGAGAGAACTTTCTGACTACTTTCCAGCTCAGAGTGGGAAAACAGACTCCAAAGGTTCAGAGGCAGCAGGGGGAAGTTCAGGGCGGATTTGCTGCTGCTTGTTTGTCTGGTTGTTGTTGGTGGTGGAGTGTGTGTCTATGTATGGGCCTGTGTGCCTCTGTGTGTGTCCTGTGCCTCTTTGTGTGTGCCTCTGTGTGTGTCCTGTGCCTCTTTGTGTGTGCCTCTGTGTGTGTCCTGTGCCTCTTTGTGTGTGCCTCTGTGTGTGTCCTGTGCCTCTTTGTGTGTGCCTCTATGTATGTGTGTGTTTGTGTCTATGGTGTGCCTATGCCCGTGTATGTGTGTGTGCACGCCTGTGTGTGTGTGCCTCTGTGTGTGTGCCTGTGTGTGTATGTGTGTGCGCACATGTGTGCACATGTGCATGCTAAGTGTACACGGGGACCAGACATGACACTGGATGTCTTCCTCAGTCACCCTCCACCTTATGTTTTGAAGACAGGGTCTCTCAGCAATTCAACTAGACTGGCTAGTCAGTAAGCCCCAGGGATTCTTGTCTCTGCTGCTCCAGCTCCAGGAATAGAGGTGTGTGTTACCACACCTGGCTTTTTATGTGAGTGCCAAAGGCTCTAACTCAGGTCGTCACACTTGTGCAGCGAGCACTTTACCAAATGAGCCATCTTCCCAGCCCCATGATCACCTCTGGTCAAAAAAAAAAAAAAAAAAAAACTGGAATAGGCTGAATCTCTGAGTTTGAGGCTAACTTGGTCTACAGAGTGAGTTCTAAGACAGCCAGGGATACACAGAGAAATCCTGACTCACAAAAAACAAAAAAAGAAAGAAAGAAAAAAAGGAAGGGAGAGAGAGAAAGGAAGAAAAGAAAAGAAATTGGAATAGCTGGCCATGTTGGTGCATGCCTGTAATCCCTGCACTAAGAAGCAGGGGCAGGAGGATTGCTCTAAGTTTTAAGCCAGCCAGCAAGTTCTTGACAAGCAAGGGCTACACAGTGAGACCTTGTCTCAAACCCAGGAAAGAAGCGGGAGCAACCGATCATTCTGGGCACCCTGGGCCACATGAGAATATCAATGCAGTGCTGTATTAAGGGAAGTCACACCAAACTTCAATTACAATAAAAGGAAAGCCCAAAAGAAGAGAAAAGTAACTCAGCCTAATCATTCCTTGAACTAAGGTCTCCTCACACCTTAATGGAATAACCTGCTTTCACGTTTAAATTAGGACAACTACACATAACTCCTAGAACTGTATGTTTGCAAAAGTGCAATTAACTAATCAAAGACTCATTTGGAATCATCATTAAATACTAAGTGTGGTGCTTCGTGCTAAGTTAAAACCAGATATAAACCTGAGACTTCCAGAGGCAGCATCTGAAACGGATGACTAGTGTAGGAGCTACCAGAAGACTGGACAGCTGAGCCAAGTGGAAGGCGGTGCACCCAGCAATCCCAAGCGCCTGCTAGGGAAGCTGAACCCTGAGCATCTCCAAGGGCCCAGCGCTACCCCGCCAGCCCAGTACCTTCCTGCTTCCCAGAGATCACTTCGGCCTGAGACTGTGAAAAGAGGAAGTCAAACTCCAATGGCAAATCTTTCACTAAATCAGCCAAGATAGCCAACTGCTGCCTGCAGAAAAAGAACAAAAATATCCCAAAGTTAATTATTAACCGTCTTTTCACCTGGCACCGAAGCAGTCCAGTAAACTGTGGCAGAGGGAGTGCTGGAGCTCAGGGGCCAAGGGCTAGCCTGGGAAACATGGTGAGCCCCCATCTCTTAAAGAAAACAAATAAAAACCTCTTATCACAAACTGCCCTCCCATGTAGTCTTGTCACGATGCCTCCCCATCTACCCATCCACTTGCCTAGCGCTTATCCATTTTGGTTCCTATTTTGACTTCAGAGGCTCAAACTACAACGGAAGAACAGCCTCCTACACAAAGACAGTATTTAGGGATCAGTATCAACCCAGGACCCCCAAGACCGAGTTCTCAGTTCAAAGGAGATTAATTCGCCCCAGAAGGGCAAAGGGCAAGGAATAAGAGACAAAGATAGGAGACAGAGGCCAAGGGAGAAGAGGAAGGAAACAAGGGAGAGGGAAAAGGGGCAGCTGTCCCAGAAGCGAGACAAAGAACTGCCTTTGGGTAGAGAGCAGGCAGCCATGGCCCACTGGCAGATGACAGTTTACACAGATAAAGAAGGAAACCCCCAAGTTAGGATGAGGTGTTCATTGTTACTGGTTGTGTTAATTACATGGGCTAAAGGGGCCTTTGATTGCTGGACTTCAGTACTTCCATAGTTGAACCTTGGTCTCAGGAGGAGGAAGAAGCCAAATAAGGGAATAGACCTTGGGGGCTAGTTTTAGAACTGTAATCTAATGGGTTTTAGAAGGCAGGGGAAGGGGGAGAAGGGCAAGGACTGCCAGAGGCATGTTTCATGTTCAGGCTGGCTAGCGCCCCTTCACCTTAAATCATGAATTACCTGGGTGTTACATGAGGAGCACATGGCTTTATGGCTCTGGGCAAGCATGAGGGAAGTCACAGGAAATTCAGACTCTCTTGGCTACACTGTTTCTAACTCCGAGAGGAAGATGTCAATTACAGACACAAACTCACCCTCGGGTCTTACACAATACAGCCTGCTCACATGACCTCACAACTAGGCAGCGAGTGCCACAAGCTCTTATATAATCTATTATATGAGCTAAAAATTAACTCTTCCATGTTTCAAGGGTTGACTATTTTTCTTTATAAAAATTTTATCATTTGAAAAACGCAGAGGCGGTTCAGAATACAAAGTTCATTAGGATTTCTACTTCAAGGGTGACATTTGATACCTAGCATCTATGTGGGTATTTTTCCTCTGAAGTTTTAAATGTTTTTCCTCGGTTTATTAGATGAAGTAAAAATAAATAAAGGAAAGGATAATAAAATGAAGCCAAGGCAAATATTAGTTAAGAATGAGACCAATGGTCATTTTACATTTGCAATATTCCCATGATTGTGTGTGTGTGTGTGTGTGTGTGTGTGTGTGTGTGTGTGTACATATGTGGAGGCCAGAAGTTGACATTAGGTGTCTTCCTCAACTAGACTCTACCTTTTTTTTTAAAAAAAAAGTTAGATTTAATCATTTTATTTTATGTGTGTTTTACCTACATGTATGTATGTGTACCACATGCATGCTTGATGCCCATGGAGGTCAGAAGAGGACATCAGAGTCTCTGAGACTGGAATTACAGATGTCTGTGAACCACTTTGTGGTGCTAGGAATTGAACCCGGGTATTCTACAAGAGCAACAACTGCTCTTGACCACTGTACCACCTCTCCAGCCCTCCATCTTATTCTTTTCTACACAGGGTTTCTTCAGTGAACCTGGAACTTCCTGGTTTGGTTAGACTGTCTGGCCAGCAGCCCAGGGACCCTCCTGTTCCTGCAGCCCCAGCACCGGATTACAGGCATGCTCCACTAGACCTGGCTGGGGATCCGAACTCAGGCCCTCGTGCCTGGGAAGCAAGTACTTTCTCAGCTGAGGCCTCTCCCAGCCCGTCTGGATTTCTAAAGTTATTCATTATAGGAATATTCTACCAGGTCAGATAACTGTCAACATGACTCAGTAAAAAATACTGCTGCCACTTAAAAGGGCAGAATTATACTTGAGGAACTAATTTTCCAATACAATCTCATGTACAGTGTTTTTAAGTGCTAAACGTTCTACAGAGTTCACAGGGATAAGGAGGGGCTATCCATCTCTCGGGATGGGACAGGCTTCTGAGCGACCCACAGATGAGGGCTTGCTGTACCTGGTGGTGACAGGGAAGGATGGCCACACACCCTCGGTGCTGTCTGCGATGAATACTACCTGTACTGCTAAAGTTTGTTTGTGTTTAACCTTTCATTCAGTCAGGACACTTTAACAAATGTTTGTTTTAGATTTGATTTCATTCCATGTATAAGTGTTCCGCCTGCATATACGTGTGTGCACCACATGTGTTCCTGGTGCCTGTGGAGGACAGAAGAGGGCATCACAGCCCCTGGAACAGTTGTGGACAGTTGTGACTATCATGTGGGCGCTGGGAATTGGACCCGGGTCCTCTGTGAGAATAAGTGTTCTTGACTGTCTAGCCATCTCTCCAACCCTGAGCCACTATGCTTTCAAAAATATAATCCAAGTAATAAAGAAAAGATAACAATATTACTTATTATAATAATCTGGGGAAACAAAATGATGACAAGGGAATTAGTTAAATAATTTATGAAGCATCTATATAATGAAATTAAAATCATATTGATGTTAAAAAGGAATGAGGTTCATTTATATTTTTACATGATTACATGAAAAGGCTTTCAATATACTTTTCAATATGCTTAATCGAGTTTGTCTAAAAAAACAAAAACAGCTGGGCAGTGGTGGTGCACACCTTTAATTCCAGCACTCAGGAGGCAAGGGTAGGTGGATCTCTGAGGGTTCGAGGTCAGTTTGGTCTACAAGAGCTAGTTTCAGAACAGCTAGGGCCACACAGAGAAAGACTGTCTCAAAAAACCAAACCAAAACAAAACAAAAGCCAAGGTTGGAAATGGCTCTGAATTAGGAGGACTTGCCTTGTAACTCCTACAGAGGACCTGAGTTCGGATCCCAGCATCACATCAAGCATCACAATCACCGTGACGCCAGCTCCTTCTAGTCCCTCAGGTTCTTACACTCGTGTGCACATGGATACCCACACAGACACACATAATTAAAAATAGTAAAAAGAAAATCTTACAAGTTTTCAAAAGAAATAAAATAAAAAAACAAAAACAAAACAAAACAAAAACCTCCTTATATACTGTACTGGGATGAAACTTTGGTTCTCAACATTGTTTCTTTTCTTTACTTTAAACTCAGTGGCGAAACTCTGAGAGCTCCTCAACAGAGCCGGGTTACACAGAAGTCTCCTGCACCGCTCCACTGTCCTCCCTCCTTCAAACTTTCATATCTGAAATTTCCTACAGTTCAAACAAACAAACTCGCCAACATGACTTCCCAAACACGAACTGAACAATGGTAACACCAGTGGACATGCCAAAGGGAACAGGGAAAGCCTATGAGACCTCAACCCTAATCAAAGAACCACAGGCAGCTAGGGAAAGCGGGCAGCAGGAGAGAGAGGTGGTCTTCCCCAGGGAAGAGCACACCAACTGGCTGCTCAGGTACAAATGGTCGGCCCTTAAAACACACATACAGGTAACATTATACACACTGAGCGGGTTATTTTTAGGAACATATATGTATATAGATATATATACACAATAACAATTAATGAGAAAAGAGGCCAAATTCAAGGTCATCCTCAGCCACACAGTGAGTTAGAAACCAGACTGGACTACATAAAGCTCTAACTTGGCTGGACATAGTGGTCCACACCTTTGATCTCAGCACTTGGGTAGCAGAGGCAAGTGAAACTCTGTGAGTTTGAGGCTATACAGTGAGATCCTGTCTAAAATAAATAAACAATGTAAAGGTAAATTATGGGATGATCTTAACTTTGTAGAAATTACATATAGATATACAAAGAAAAGACACCAATGCAAAATGAAAAGGTCAGGAGACAGAATGAACAGTTTTGTTTGGCTTGATGTATGTACTTTTAGAACTTCCTAAAAGGTTACAGCTTTAACATTTAAAGCGTGATTTGTAAAATCAAAATGAAATTTGTAAACAGAGAGCTAGAAGGCCTCCCCTGATAACAAAGGACCATAAAAATAATCTGCTCCTCACCAGAAAGCCAGAGAGCTACCACTCACTGAGTCTTGAGACAAGAACTCCACTGAGCCCAGCACAGCGGGATATTATTACACTGCCCGGCGCACCCAGACCAAACTGCTCATCAACAGCGAGGGTTTCTAGTATTACAGCCTGAAGAAACACCAAGTGAGAACATTTAACTGTGTGGAAACGCAAACTGCTGTTTACCAAGGAAGAATATTTCCATTATTAAGGGATGCCCAATGCTTATGAGACTGGCCACTCTTGGAGGCTTAATTCCAACGTCGACGCTGGCACTGAGCTCACTGAGATGGCACCAAAAGCACAGGCAACAAAACCAAAACCCACAAGTGGGAGCACACCAAACCAAGAAGTTTCTGGAACAACCAGCAGAAGGAAAAAGAAAGCTTCCTAGTGAAGTATTTACAAACTGCACGTCTGACGAGGGATTAGTCCTCAAAACACAGGAGAAAATTTCACAGCTTGACAGAAAGGAACCTACAACCTGACTGTAAAATGGGACCATGGACTTGATCACCTATTTCTCTAAAGACAAACGAACGGTCAGCTGGTGTATGACAACGTCTTAAGGTCTGCATGAGGGGGCTGCAAGCCAGCACTGCAGGAAAGACAACTTTACATCTGCTGGGGTGACTATTACCAGAAAAATAAAAGACAGGTGTTTGCAGAGACGTGGAAAAAAAGAACTCTTGACAGTGGGGATATAAAATGGTACAAAGTTCAATCCCTGGAGCCTACATACTGGGAGGACAGAAGCAACCCCTCTAAGTTGTTCTCTGACCTCTATTCGAGCACACACACACACACACACACACACACACACAAAGTGTTAAAGAAAAAAAAACTTTAAAAGTACATATTGTTATGGTTTTGGTCCCTTTAAGAGACAAGCCACACCCACTCCCCTCCCCATCCGCTGAGGCAGGCTGATCTTCAGCTTCCGGCCTGAGCTCGCTCTCTTTTCCATCTTCCTCTCGGAGAGACAGCTTCGCTTCTGCTTCTGCCTCTCTCCCCACTTCTCAGCTTCCCCCCTTCTCTGTCTCTTTCTCCTCTTCTCTCTCTCTCCCCCTCTCTCTCTGTCCCCCCCTTCACCCTTCCTCCTTCATAACCCCCTGAATAAACATTCAACCTCACCCTACATGTCTTGTCTATCCATGTTTCTGTCTTCTGCCCACCCGCCTTGTGTCTCCCCGCCCGCCATGTATCTCCCTGCCTGGAACCAGCCATTGCTCAGGGACCAGCAGCCGTCTCTGCCTGGGGCCCACTGCCTGCTGCCACATGGCCCACCACCACTGCTCTGGGACCAGCAGCCGTCTCTGCCTGGGACTGGCTGCTCCGGCCTGCTGTCTGCTGCCACATGGCCCGCCTCCACTACTCAGGCCACCGCTCTGGGTCCGGCAGCCATTTCTGCCTGGGACTGGCTGCTCCCAGACCCCACTGCCTGCCACTACAAGGCCCGCCGCCACCATTTGGGACCTACAGCATTTCTGCTGCCTACTGCCGCGGGGATCTTGCAGCATTTTTAAAAAAGAACAACACATATGGATGACAGGAAAGTTGGCTCTCTGGTTAAGGACTCTGGCTGCTCTTGCACAGGACCCAGGTTTGTTTCTCAAAACCAGCTGTAACCTCTAGTTCCAGAGGACCCAATGCCTTCTTCCAGCATCTGTGGGCTCTACACGCATGTGGTACACATACCTACATGGAGGCAAACAGTCATACATATAAAATAAAATTTCTAAACCTTTTTTAAAAAGTGTATACGTAGCTGGGGTGAAGTCCTAGTGGCAGAGCATCTCCCTAGTTAGGCTGTGTTCAGCCCTAGCATCTTTCTTGAGGTGGTGGTGCACACCTTTGATCCCAGTACTCGGGAGGCAGAGGTAGGAGGATCTCTGTGGGTTTGAGGCCAGCCTAGTCTACGAAGAGGGTTCCAGGAAGCCAGGGCTATACACAGAGAAACCCTGTATCGCAAAAATAACAACAACAAAGATATCGGGCTCAATTTGGGGTTCAGGTGGAAAAGATGGAACTGGCTGGAGCCAGGAAAGCATCTAAAACAACAGAGACTGAGGTTTGTGTAGCAGGGAGAGGAAGGAGAGTCACCCATCATCATGGGACCCAAAGAGCTACAGAGAAGGTCGAACTGCTGCCTTGGTCTCCCAGTAGCCCCTAGTATGACTCCCGTTCCTCGGGTGACTCTTTGTGCAAATACGGTCTTACCATACCTGTTCCATGACTCAGTCACCCTCACTACCACTCCCAATTGCCACCACACCCTCAATCCAAACTCAGAACGCTTTTGTCATCTCACGGAGATAGTGATCCAAAGCCACAAATGACAGGAAGATGTGGCTGCCTGACGGTGCGGTAACTGGGTATAGGGATGGCTCCATGGCAAGACAAGCAGCCTTCCCCACCTGTGACCTCTGTGTGGCGTGCCTTCACCCTCCTCCATTCTGGCTGCAAGGGACTTGCTTCCCTGAGTCCCATAACGTCCTGAATCTCACCTCTCAGGGAGCAACCTCATGCCCGCTGTGCAGAGGATGTAAAGGGGGGTCTCCTTGTGCTTCTTCACAGGCACATGAGCGGCGGCAAAGCTCAGCAGAGGTCTCAGGTAGTCACTGGCATGTTCTGGAGTATCTGCCATTGCGGAGATTCCTGAAGTAACACCAAACATGTATACATATGTGTGGACATATGTGCCTGTGTATTTTAATGTAGATTACATATGACCCAGAAAATGAATTCTCATAAGATTCTGTCCAAGGACCTACATTTATTTTTTTTAAAGATTTATTTCTTTATTATGTATACAACTTTCTGCCTCCATGTATACCCACAAGCCAGAGGAGGGCGCCAGATCTCATAGATGGTTTGGAGCCACCATGTGGTTGTTGGGAATTGAACTCAGGACCTCTGGAAGAGCAGACAGTGCTCTTAACCACTGGGCCATCTCTCCAGCCCCACATTTATGTTTTTGAAAGAAGTTGGATGGCAGTTAAATGAGAGATTCCTCCCAGTGCTCAGATTCCCACAAAAACAAGCGAGCTCCCTTCCTCCCCTTTCTCTTCCTACAGTAGGTCAGAGATCAGTAACAAATGTATTCTAATGAGTACCTGGCTTGATTTTCTTAACCACAGGCTGGCTGTTTCGGTCTCTCATCTGTTTGATGTCCAGTAAGTCATGGGGGTTCCCATTATGTCTTGGCCAGAAGTAAACAAAAATCCGGGAGCCACTGCTACCACAGTCCACCACAAGTCCGTAATTCAAATTTGGGTCTTCGGTGTTGGTGGCTTCAAGGTCTCCTACCCGAGCCAAATACCTAAGATGGATAAAACAGAAACGAGTGGGTCCATGAAGAGGGCTAGTACTTCCGTTGATCGCTGAGCCTTCACGATCCTACCGTGTCCCAAGCTTTCGTGTACTTGAGCTAGACCCATGTATACTTGGTATACTACAAATTAAAGTGAAAATGTTTCAGTTTTCGTTTGCTTGTTTTTTTGTGGGTTTTTTTTTTTTTTTTTGAGACAGGGTTTCACTATGTAGCCTTGGCTAGCCTGGAGCTCCTTACATAGACCAGGCTGGCCTTGAACTCATAAAGATCCAGCTGCCTCTGCCTCCTGAGTGCTGGGATTAAAGGCATGAGCTACTAGACCCAGCAAATGTTTAAATAGTAATTCATCTGGATAACAACAATAAATTCATTCAGTATTAACACAACATATTTATATATACATACCTATGCTACGCTTTCAGAAGCAAAAACTAGAAGAGTGGTTTTGTTTCATAATTTTGCAAATGTCTTTTGCACCTTGATCAACATTCTCATGTTTGCTTTGGTATTCAATGTGCTACAGACATAGCTTTAGCTGAGTGTGTGATGGTCTAGCCTTTCACGCCTGCTGCAAAAGGGAAGAGGTTTTCTTTCTTCCTTTTTTTTTTTTTTTTTTTTTTGAGACAGTGTTTCCCAGTAGCTATGGAGCCAGTCCTGGAACTTGCTCTGTAAAACCAGGCTAGCCTCCAACTCACAGAGATTCACCTGTCTCTACCTCCCAGGTGCTAGGATTAAAGGCGCGCGCCACCACCACCCAGCTTTTTTCTTTTAAAATTTACTTTTACTGATCTATTGGGAGCTCACCAAGGCCAGCTGGACTAGGACTGAAAAAGCATGGGATAAAACCGGACTCTCTGAACATGGCGGACAATGAGGGCTGATGAGAAGCCAAGGACAATGGCACTGGGTTTTGATCCTACTGCATGTACTGGCTTTGTGGGAGCCTAACCAGTCTGAATGCTCACCTTCCTAGACCTGGATGGAGGGGGGAAGACCTTGGACTTCCAACAGGGCAGGGAACCCTGACAGCTCTTTGGACTGGAGAGGGAGGGGGAGAGGAGTGGAGGGAGGGGGAGGGAAATGGGAGGCTGGGAGGAGGCGGAAATTTTTTTTCAATAAAAAAATAAACAAATAAAAGAAAAAAGAAAAAATTTACTTTTATTTATTCATGGTTGAACGATGTAGGGACTGAACCTCATACATGCTAGACAAGCATTCTACCACTGAGTAACATCCTCAGACCAAGAAATAGTTTTGACAGACTTTCAGAACGCTGGAGACACTCTGCTTCTATATTATAACTCAAAATAAGTAGAGTTTCTTAGAGGTTTTGTTGCAATTGCAACCGTCTCAGTTAAGGTTTCTACTCCATGAAAAACACCATGACCAAAAAGCATATGAGAAGGAAAGGGTTTATTTCATCTTACACTTCCGGTCACACTCCATCACTGTTGGAAGTCAGAGCAGGAGGAACACAGGGCAGGAACCTGCTCTTCCTGGTTCACTCAGCCTGATTTTTAAGCACCCAGGACCACCCGCCTAAGGGTGGCCTCAGTCACAGTGGTCTGTGCCCTCTGTCATCATCAGTAGCCAAGATAACGCCCTACAGACTTGCCAGCCAACCAATCTGATGGAGGCATTTTCGCTGTTGTGGTATCCCTCTTCCCAGAAAACCTAGCTTGTGTTAAATTGACAGAAAATTCACTAACAAGCCAGGTGTTGCAGTGCAGGCCTTTAATCTCAGCACTCTGAGGCAGAGACCTGGGGATCTCTGTAAAATGGAAGCCAGTTTAGTCTACATAGTGAGCTCCAGGCCAGCCAAAGCTACATAGTGAAACCTTGTCTCAAAAAACAAAAACAAACTACCAAAACCTAGCCAACACAAAAACCCAACCCCCCAAAATTTTATATTCTGCTACATTAAAATCTATGGCTTATCCTGAACTATAAAAAGATAGCTTTTTTGTAATAAGGCAAGAATGATTCAATTAATTATGTAAATTTTAATATTGACACATTTCACTGTATAGTTTTTTTTTAATCACTCATATCAGCACCAATGTTTCTTGTAAAAATCTTTAAGGTCCTGGGAAGTGTGCCAAATTCAGTTGCAAAGATGCATTTGAAATTCTAACTCCCAATTGGAAGCTCAAACTTTAGCTATTTAAATACTGACATTTGTTTCCTTTAAAGGTAACAAGTTTATTTTATTCATTTTTAAAAGGTTCCCGGGCTAGAAGTGTCACTTAGTGGTAGACCGCTTGCCTAGCGTGTACAAGGCATAAGGTTTAAACTTTTGCATGCTAATTTATTTAATCTTTTATATATATATGTCTGAGATTTTGCAAACACATACACACAGTCACATGTTCATACCATGTGCAGAGCTGGAACACACAGAGTGCAGACAAGGCTGGTGGGTACCTTGGAAATGCAGTTACAGGACTTTGTGAGTTACATTGAGTAGGCACCAGACCTGGGTCCTCCGCAAGAGTAGCCAGGGCTCTTAACCACTAAGCCGTTTCCCCATGATTTTTTTTTTTTTTTTTTTTTTTTGAGACAGAGTCTCACTACAGAGTATGTAGCTCTGGATGACCTAGAATGCACTATCTACACCAAATTAATCTTGAATTCACAGAGACCTACACCCCCTGCCTCCTGAGTGCTGAGATTAAAGGCATAGACCAACACACCCAAATACAAGATAGAATCTTTAAAAATAAATAAAACATCTATGAAATACCTAAGTCAGAAAACCCGTCTTTCTCATGGTAAAAATAGTGTTTCACGGCTTAACTGCCCAAGGAGCCTCCCTCAAGCCAGTTTTGGAGCGCGGAAATGTTGAATGCCTACTTCTCAACTCATCGCGTAGTAAATAAAATGCCGTCAAGTACATCAGATTCCCCCCACCACAACGGTATCACAAAGCGAAATGCACTGACAAAAGACCAACTGAGTAACGCTATCTTGATTTGTGCTAAGCCCTCCACAGTTGTATGCCCTCTGACATCATGGAGGCAATCATCAACGTGCTGACAAAGGCAAAGAACACTCTCAGGAGTCAGGAGGTAGAAGCCACTCGAACATCCAGCACTGGAAGAATGGGTAAACAAGACGAGGTGTATACATACAGAAAGATACTATTCAGTGTAACAAAAGAAGACCATCTCGTTACATGCTACTATAGGACGTTAGGCCAAGAGAAATAAGCTAGCCACAAGAAGATAAATGCTCTATTTATTCCACTTGCATGAGGTATGTAAAGGAGTCAAAGTCATAGAAACAAAAGTGAAATAGTTGGGGACCACTGGCTGGCAGGCGGAATGGAGGGGAATTGTTCTTTGATGGGTAGAGAGCTTCAGACTTGCTGGATGACAAGTTCTGGAGACAATGTAACAATGATGTAAATGTGCTGAACACCACTGAACTGGACAGTTAAAAATGCTTAGGACGGGAAACTTAATGTGATTTACTACAATGAAAACGGTAGATAATATCTCAATATTATTACAAGCTTTGAATTCACTGCTCTCAAAGTGGTCCCAGAGACCCCAAGGACTCACATTTTGGTAGCCAATGCTGTAATGCAACCTTTTTCTCCCAAGCATCCGCCCTCTCTCACCCTCTTTTCTGTTTATTTTTTCTCATCACCTTTGGAACGGTTTTCCAGCCTTTTTTTGTTTGGTTTTGTTTTTTCATTTTTTTGAGCAGGGTCTTGTGTGTCTTGTCCTCCTTCCTAAGACCCAAGTGTATAGCACTACATTCGGTTAATGCAGTATTAGGGATAAACCTAGGGCTTTGTACATGGCTGACAACTGCCCAGCCTGGTCTCTCGGCAGAAGCCACTGTGTAGCAATGCTGGCCCCAACAAAACCCAGTGATTTCAAATGCCTTTATTTATGTTTTTGACAGGGTCTCGCTAAGCAGTTTCAACTCACCTGGAACTCACTCTGTAGACCAGGTTGGTCTCAAACTCACAGAGATCCACTTGCCTCTGCCTCCTGAGTGCTGGGATTAAAGATGCGCACCTGGTCCAAGTGCCCTTAGAGACAGGAGCCTGGATGCCCTGGAGCTGGAGTTACTGGTGATTGTGCAGGTGCTGAGGACCACACTCAAGTCCTCTACAACAATACACACTCTTAACCACAGCAGCATCTCTCCAGCCCCCGAGAAAGCGTTTCTTCTCCCCCTGCTCTAAGAGTGCCGCTATGCCCTTCGAGTAGCTCGTGTACATTTCAGATGAACCCTTAAGGTTTCTCTCCATTGCTTAGGCCATTTCTCAAGAGCCTGCCGACTACTGTCAGCGCACATCAGTGGTCCTCACATTCCTGGACCTAAGATGCGGTCACTCACTCCTCCTGGAGCTCACAGGACAGAGCTGCTGGTTCGCTCCCAATTCCTCCACGTCTTCCTTCTGCTATCCTCAAACTCAACCGGTCGTCGACAGTTTCAGTGACTCCGCAGCGTGTGCTGTTATCCTTCCTGATTCTCGCTGAAATAAGCAATTTCACGGTTCTAATTCTGGTGCAGCTCAACTTAGCTTTCTCTTCCTTTAGACTTTGTCATGAGAGCAACAGCAAAAAGGAAAAGAAAATGTCAGCTGGCTTTAGAGCACAGGGCAGAAAGGAAGGAGCAGATGGCGTTCAGCTTCCACTCCCTAGCTGAGTCTTTGATCAGTCACTGCAAGCAGCAGGAAGTCTCCAGCTTTCTTATCTTGTGTGCAGACAGGTACTGAAGAAGGGCTTTCCCTCCGGGAGGTAGCAGAAGTACCACTTTCTGGACTGCTAACCTCGGATGACCTCACCAGCTTGCTTATGCTTCCCACAGTCTCTTGAGCATCTTCGTTTATGATTTGCAGACCTAGCCTTGGCTGTCATGGTGAATCGCGTGCACCGCTGGACCCTTCTCCTTGGCTAATGCCACATAGAACAATTTCTAGAAAGATCTCAAAGCCTAAGGGAAAATGTCTAAAAGCTCCGGAATTTTTC